CATAAATATAAAGGATGAAAATGAATGGTTGGCCTAAAAACATAAAGCATAATTAAAACATGAAATTCATTCAATAATAAAAGCCTCGCAGCGCAGCTGTATTTGTCAGCACTTGTAACATTATTTTCTAAATCATAAAATTATTTAATGTTTTAAAATGACAATATTTACATTTATTTTAAATTATTTTCTAAACATGATATAGAAATATTTAACTACAAGTTCCTAAACATAGTTTTAATTATTTTTATATATTTTTGGGGGGTTTAGAAAAGTGATGGTCTTTTCTTTTATATAAATTAGTTCATTTTTTCTAAAGAGTCAAGAGATAACCTTGTATAGAAATAGTTTCCTCTACTTGTAGAACATCAGTCTAAACGTAACCCAAAGAAATGCGTGACAGAAATATAATCAAAATCTTTTTTTTAAAGAAAATAAAGCTGCAGGTAATTACTCTTAATACATTTTGTTTCATTTAAAAGTCAAAAAAGTTCAACAGTCAGTAATCCTTAATCTTAATCCCATTGCTCTGTGTGGTGAGACAGGAGATGCGCATCAAGCGGAGGCGGGGCTGGTGGGGGGTCAATAAAAAGGGAGTTTTACGGGTTTCATTCAGCTTCAACAATCATTTCGGGGACAGAGCTGGTTTAACAAGGAGCATGAAGGCTTTATCTTCAACCGAATCTCCGGGACACAGATCCAGGAGGAAGGTCAGCTGTAAATTCCTGGTAAAAAGAAAGAATATTTAAACTATTTTATCCCAAAGTTAATGAAATGTCCTTTCCTTTCCACCCTGAAGGTTTCCAAACCCTTGATGGAGAAACGCAGACGGGAGCGCATCAACGGCAGCCTGGAAACCCTGCGGCTTCTCATGCTGGAAAACACGCAAAATGAGGTGCGTTTTTGCGCCATAGTGTTTTATTTTTATACATATATAGAACAGCCTTGCTGTGTAAGCATTGCTGATATGGATTTTGAACTGTTATTTTTGTAACTTTGTTTGGTAACAAACTGTTTCACCCGTGAAAGATGACGATTCATGCAACTCATTTAATCCATGTTCTATATTCCGCATATTTCCTTTAGGAAAAGACAATAGTTCCTTATAGATTTATTTTTTGACAAAGGCTGCACCATTAAATGCATGTAAAATGCATTGATGCATGATAAGCCATTGCTGCTCTGAACTTCCATATCAGTGCGTTTTTTGCACCATGTTTTTTTCTCCCACACTTTACATCTGATCTCTGCTGCACTTTAATGAAAATGTTATGAAAGCTGTACTATTTATAAAATGACAATAAAAGTTGTCTAAGGCTAACAGCTGAAATCCATACCACTATATGTTAGAATAAGTAAGTTACAGAATATGTAACTTACACTTTGATGTTAAGAGTAATACTCCCTCTATAAATAAGTTAAAAAAAAAATCTCAAATTGAGTGTATTTACCCTTAATTTTAGTATATAAATAAGAAGTTTGCCAATGGAATGGGTATGTTTACTCCTAAAACAAGATAATTAGATAATATGTACTTGAAGAAAATGCACTGAATTTAAGCAAAAATGATTCATTAAGATTTCCATTTTTTAACTGAAACTAGGAATTATAAAACATAGATTTCATGAAAATCAGTCATGGATTTACTCTATTTGTTTCTTATTCCAACATTTTTAGAAAAACTGAGATCTAATTCATGTTGTCTAGACATTTATGGGTTATTATCCAAAACATTCAGTTATGTTTTGGTTCATTTAGTGGTCATTATAATTGTGCACTAAAAAAAATGGAAATTTAGAACTAATTTTTTCTTAAAATAAGTGCATTTGTGCTTGGATGGATTAGGTAAAAGACACATTTTGTCAATAGAACAAGACAATTTACACGTAAAATAAGAAAACACAATTACATTGTCTTATTTCAAGTGCATATTATCTAATTATCTTATTTTAAGAGTAAAAAATCTCATTTACCTACTCAAATTAAGGGTAAATACACTTAATTTAAGAAATTTCTACTTACTTTCGCAGCGTTTTTCCAGTGTGCAGTTGTTACCATATTTGTAGAATATATATATATGGTTGGAACAGTTCTAGATCTGCGTTTAGAATAAAGCAAAAACACCCAAACACCAAGTTTAACTGATGATGTTTCTGATACATAGGAGCAAAATGGTTTCTTTATGAGGCTAAAATCGAAGTAGGGGGGAATATACGGTAATTTCAATAAAGCAACTTTCCTTTATTTTTTTTCTTGTCTTAGAAACTAAAAAATCCCAAAGTGGAAAAGGCTGAGATCCTGGAGAGTGTTGTTGAATTCCTGAAAAGGGAGAAGGAGCTGGAGAAGGATCGCCAGACCCCGAGGAGGATGTTCCCAGAGGATCTGAGACCCACCTCTACTCCCCATCACAGCTACCATGACGGCATGAAATCCTGTCTGCTGCGGGTCAGCCAGTTTATAGCATCAAAGAGTCGGGAGTTGGAGGCCAACAGCGGGCTCCAGGCCTCTCTGAAGCTTTCAGAGTCTCAGGAGCTGGTTTCCTCCCTGGCACCTACACACGGGTCTCCAGTAGTCGCTCCCGCTGATGTTCCTGTTCTGTCTCCTCACCTCCTCCTCCAGCAAGAAAGCAGGCAGACGCTCACCTTCTCCTCATCCATGACGGCCCCTGTACATGTTTCTGATCCTGTATGGCGACCCTGGCCTAAATGAAAGACACATTAACTTTTTTTTCTTTTTTTATAGATGATTTTATAACATATATTTACTGCTGTAAGCCAAAAGCAGAGTAATGTTTACTCTTGTTTGTACAGCAACAGCATTTTTGCACAGATGAGTGTTATATCTTTTTAAATATCTTCTTTATTTTTCATGGATTTCCTCTTTTATGTAACTATGTAAACTGCCATGCATTTTTTGCACCATGATGCTTTAATGTTGCTGATAGCGATGCATACAGTGTCTTTCTTTGCCTGGTTTGAGCACAGCAGGTGGTGCTGTGCTTTTGCCTTGCTCTCACTTCACAGACATCAGGAGAGGGTTTTTATCAATGTGCTCCAGTTCCCTGTTCAGCACAATTTCCTGGCCCTTCCCAAGTGGCCACTCTGCCTCTTGAGTGGCTTTGCCTTGAAGGTTCCTGCAGCTTGTTTGTGAGAAGAGGACAACCATCCAGAGGAACATTAACACATACTCCATCCAGATTGGACAGCAGTTATGATGCCTATTGAAATGTTGATAGCAGACCTGTTGTCTCTACATGGTGTTCAGGAGACTTTTTCACATGTAGAGTAGGTAAAGATTGTGGTCATTCGCACATGTTCAGAATCCAGACTGGTTTGGTGGCATCTAATCCACAGCTTGGTGTTAAACACTGCAACGTTTGGCCTCTTTTTTTAGGTCATGCTTAGAAGCTTCCAGTCAAATAAATGGCTTTTTTTGCACGCACAGTCTGTCCTGATTATTCCAATTTAGTTGCATATACCTGGAATCGGGGTGGGAAAGTAAACTAATTATGCTGGTCTTATACTTTATACAGACAAGAAATTAAACCTCTCAAACATTTCAATTGTGTATTAAAAATATGATGCATAATAACACTAAAACAAAGTTAAGAATACCCTTTAAACTGCGTCACTTTTTCTGTCAAAAGTCTTTTATAGAGGTAGTATGTAATAAACTAAGAGAAAGCATTTCTTTGGAGGAAGAAAAAAATGATAGATGTTTTTTTTTTGTTTGTTTGTTTTTTAGGAGGAAACTGTTTGTTCATTAGTATTCCAAATTCAGTACTATGGCATCTATAAGGCTCACAGAAGTGGCCTGATAACTATAAAGGTTATTTAACATCAATGTAAATTTAACTGTAAGCATTTTTAAAGCAACACTACATATACTTAAGTACTAGCTTCATTTCAGATATTTTAAATCATGGTCTGAAGCCTTTGAACTCCAAAAAGCCATTTTGCCCCAAATCCAGCTTAACAAAAGTCCTTCATTATCATTCAATTATTTTTAATGAACGAAAGTCGTGCATCATATGACAGTGAAGTGTTAGCATTGGCCTTTAACAGTGCTCCTAATGGCTTAAAGTTATACAGTGTTGCTTTACTAGAAAGAAACAGACAAGGGAAAGATTTCAGTCCAAGTGATAAACTTTTCATGTGGGACTTTTAGAGTCCACTATTGAACTAATAGAGAGTGGAAAAAATAACGATGCAGAAAATAGTTAAGAGTTTTGTAGCCCTTAGGAAGCCCTGCAAAGGGCTGCAACTCAGGTAGGAGAATCATTTGACAGAACAAAATTCTGGTTTCTAATGACAGAATGGCAGGAAAAAAAGCTTACATAGTAGGATTCCTGTTTGAATTTTTCACATTAAGGGGAATAAATAAAAGTAGTCAGCAAGTAAACCCATAATGTACATTCCATTCTGTATGAATACTGGTCTTAGTCACGTCCAATGTCTCTTATAAACAGTAACAATTTGTTGCTTAAGTAGAAGTACAGATACTGCAGTTTAAAAACACTCTGGTAAAAGTTGAAGTATCAACTTGACCTCTTTACACAAGTAAAAGTAAAAATGTATGTGCTCCAAAAACTACTTAAAGTATAAAGTAACCTTTAAAAAAACAGCCAGATGTGAAATGAAGGATCAATTTTTCGACTATTTCTAAAACTTCTCTGAGATAGGGCCAAGGATGAGGGAGGTCTTGTTGGTCTTCATCTCCCGATACGCTCTCGCCTGTGTTTCGCCTGAGCATGGCATAGACAATTCACGTTTGCAGTTTGAAGAACACCTGCTTGCTTCTGATGATTTCCTTCAGCTAACCAATGAGTGTTTGCATTATATGACTCATCCAATTACACTAGTTCTCACTAGATGTGGATGGAGCCAATGATCTGCATTGGATGCGCACATGACGTGAAATAAATATTTATAAACATTAAACCGAAGCCAAGAGTAACGAGTAACGTTTGTCTTTAAAATGTAAGGAATAGAAAGTACAGATACTTGTGTGAAAATGTAGAAGTAGGAAGAAAAATAAGTCTTTCTGTAAAGTATAGATACCTAAAAAGTGTACTTAAGTACAGTAACAAAGTATTTGTACTTTGTTACTTGACACCTCTGCTTCTAAATAATTTCAGACTCGTTCAATTTGGGACCGTCCTGTCATGTGCAAACAGCAGCTTTTCCCTTGGTGATTAACAGCGCTCCTGCAGGATGCATTTATCACACCGGGAAAAGTCTGGCTTTATCTCCTTTCCTGGATTTTCTTAATTCTGCTTTAGTGAAACGGTCCTTAAGACCTTTGTTTGCAAAGATGCTAATTTGTCCCTAATGCTTTGCATGCTGTGTATTTTAAAGTGGAAGACAACCATCGTTAAGGCAGGGATTCACAAACTTTTCCATGCTGTACCCCGCAAACCCCCCACCCCCACCCCCCTTACAAACTAGCAGACAATGCTACAAAAATGTAAGAGTTTGTTCTTACTTTTATTAACATTCCACTATTATAACAGCTGTTTCACAAGATAATGTCAAGTGTAATCTAGAATCTTTTTTTCAATACTGTATTTTTCTCCACTGAATAACAAACATTTTTATATAAGAACAAAGCAAAATAAATCTGTTAAACAACCACTGACTACTTTCAGACATGCTCTATCTTTATTTAGATACTGTTAAAGTTGAAAACAAAGCCAAATTCACACTTTTTTTTTGTCAAAAGTGGGATGAGCCTCAAAGTTCACTTTTAAATCAGTTTACTATTCATCTTAATATGATCTAGTATTACAAGTTTTATTTTAAAGCAATGCCAAGATATTTTTTAGGATCATACAATGAAACAAAACTTTTTTTTTTATAGCATATCTTTTATAGCATATGTTATTTTCCCTTTCTTAATCAAAATTCGCTCCAATTGATTTACAATTTGAAGTTTTTCTTTTCCCATTTATTTTACTGTACTGTAAATCAACCCATTTGCACATTTAGGTTGAAATCCAATCTCATATTTTCTCAAGATTTCTTATACTTTTGTACATCATAATTCTGTGGTCTAGAGACACAGGTGGAACACAGAAGGAAATTCCAATCATGGTTTGCTTAGTTTGAATTATTTGCATATATGACTCAGGTAAAAGTAGCACTACTTTAAAAACATTTTTTTTTATTAAGTAAAACAAGAAAATAGTAATGAAAAAAATCAGCAGAGGGAAAGAGTATTGATAAAATGGCTACTCAAGTAGTAACTGTTGGCTCATAACCTCCAATTTTCTGTTTTGAAATGATGTAATCAGAGATATGCACAAATTCTGGTATTTCAAAGGATAAAATCTGATTTAAAATATATGTACAGTAGGTAATGCATTTATGTCACGAGAGAATAAATGACTATCAGCTACAGAATCAGTTGTTTATTATCTCTGAATAGCTGAAGTTATCTGTGGTGAGTAGAGCAACCAGAAACTGTATTCAGGTAGTAGATATACTCTAATGAGAAGATTACTTAAGTAAAAAGTACAGCAAACTTCTCCTAGAAGTATTTCATCTTGCAAATGTAACTCTGCACAAAACCTGAAAATAAAGCAAATGTTGTGTCATCGTGAAAATATATCTTAATACCATATTTAAGCTAAATATTTCCCAGATGTTCCCACTCATTGACTAAAGGCTCTGATTTGGACAATCCTCTTTCAGACAATCCTCTGGGATGACAGACAGGATGCTCCTTTGCATGCCTGATAAGACTTTACTGATCTCACAATGGAGAAATGCACTTATAACATCAGCTCAAGTAAACAAATTAAAGCTTCAGCCGAAGAAAATGAGAAAAGTAGATCAATTACAGCGGGAATCAGATTAGGAGTTCATTGGAGCAAGCTGATCAAATTAAATAATGCAGTTATTAAAACTAAAAGGTATTACAGAGGGGAGAAAAAAAAGAGCATCTCAGAGAGCAAATGTTCTAAAGTGTTACACTTGTTCCCATCATAATGCAGCCAAACAGTTTGTCCTAACAAGTGTTTGATGGTTTCCCCCTCAGACAGGAGGCAATAAAGGCAAAGGGACCAAATGCCTTTTGGCTACAGCAAGTCACCTGCTGCAGTGGGTTCCCACACTTCAGCTCTTCTGTACAAGATCCAAAAATATATATATAGTTTCAACTATATGGAGATTATTGTAAAATATATATACATTCTCAGGACATCCTGTATAGATTAGGCTACAGCTGTCATATTTATTAAATAAGATACTGATTAGTTTCCACCAAGGTGGTCACCAATCTTCCTGGGGTCCAAATAATAAAATTGTTTATAAATTATTCAGGAGGATCAGACATTAACATGTGATATGCACATTGTTAATCTGACATTTAATTTTATAAATTACATACAAGACATTTTAAGTGCTCTTTTAATTCTGATTTAAGGTAATTTATTCAAGAATTGTTCAATATATAGGCCTATAACAATATATAGCATAAGAGTTTTTCGTAACATCTAGTGCCTTCGACTGTTCTAGTTAAGAAGTTCAACTGAAACATCATTAGTTCAACTTTTTTATTTCCTTTTGTCCAACTATTTTTAATGTTCTTTTTTGTTTCTGTATTTTTCATTTATTTTTTTCCTACTTGCTTTGATTCTGTTTTATTTTCCTATATTTTAATCATGTAAAGCACTTTGCATTGTCTTTGTACTGAATTGAGCTATACAAATAAATTTGCCTTGCCTAGTGAAATGACTGTGACTGATAAGAATAAATACGCCTTTCATTAAATGATTCAGGTCTCCCAGTTAGTATGACTTTAAGAAAAATAATATTTATAATAATTACAATTTACGGTATAACCCTAGAGGTGACCTTTTTTTTCCGTCACTTCTAGGATTTTCCCCGGCATGTCTGAGGATGAGGCAAAAGGACAAAATCAACGGACACGTGTCGGCATCGCGGCCGCAGGCTGTGCGGCTGCGCGCGCGACAAAAGTTACCCGCACCAAGGTGCTAATGTCACACGTGCGCCACCATTAAAGGCTCGTGCGAGGGAACACCCAACATCTGCGTGGCCAGAAAAAAAACACACAAAAAAACACCACAGCTTTTATGGTAGATTTAAAGCTTTAAGGGAACTGTTTACAATTATTTTAATATCCTTTAAGATTTAAATTTTAAAAACCACAAGGTAATTATTCGTTTTTGCATTTAAGTTTCACATTTACATGTTTGTTAACATAAGCTTTTACATGGATAAACAGGAAAATAAATATGTAGTCAAAAATCCAAATATGTCATCTCTTAAGTCATCTTATCTGTATGTAATGTTATCAGCAGACCTCTGTTTAATTTTAATATCAGGGTTTTTTTTCTTTTATAGTAACTCTACCATGCAAGATGCTGGTGTAGATTCTCAGTCACCCAGGTCAGAGTGATTAAAAATTTGAACTTCCAAGTTTCAAACTTGGAAACACATCCAGTGGATTATTTTTTGTTTTTAACTTTTTTGTAAAATCTATCTTGCTAGCGGCTACTTGCATCCAGCTATTATTACTGAACCCGACCCTGTGACGGTAGCCTGGACACAGATGGCCCCATCCTTNATGAAAAACAGGTGTTTATTGGTAACATCAGAGCATGAACATTGTAAATCAAAGACAGGGTACAAGCAGAATGAACTCAGCCCATTTAATAGGTTAATATGGTATTATTGTCCCTTGGCCGTGTTTTCAGCTTGTTTGAAAAGACGGTTCCTCATACTTTTCCTGCAGCGAGGCCTTGGGCTTTCTGAAAGTCCTGCTGTAAACTAGTCAGGATCTCTCGCTGCTGTTCAGATTTCTTCTCAAAGTCTTTCAGGAGCGTCTCGTATCTTTGACTGCAGTGGGACAGGAAGGAGAGGGGAATACGGAGCACAGGGTTAATTTTAACAAAAACAGTTTGCTTAGATTAATGCAGATTATACACTTTAATCTTATTCAGAGATGTGCAAAATGACAGCAACATGTTATATCACGTGATTTATAGACTTCATAATGACTATGCAATGTGATGTTTGTTTTTTACCTTAAATACAGTAATCTACAGATGCTATGAAACAAGAAGTGTGTGTCAAAGCTATACTATCTTTCTTTTAAAAGTCTTAAGCCCCCCTGAAAATGAGAAATCATTGTTGTCCGATGCTGTAGTGCACGCATTGTTTACATTGCGACCGGTCTAACTAGGGGGTACCAATATGGCGGCTGGTGGCTTCACATTAACATGTAGTACCAACGGCCTATCAGTATCCAGTGTATAAATAGAGATCAGTGTTTGCTACAAGCCATGCAGCAAACATGTGGATGATTTTTCTGGTTGGTCTAGATCTAAACTGAGCTTTGTTTTTTATCTGCACATGAAACACTAAGAAAGGTGGAGATAAATCAGGTCAACCCTGCAAGGAGAAACTGTTAGAGACTGCAAAAGACTTGACAGCGGCGCTGGTCCACCTTAATGCACAACTATGACTCTAAACATACAGACAGACCTACAATCTACAACGAAAGGGTTAAAACAATCTTTAGATAAATGAAAGTGTTTGGCCTAAATGCAAATGATAATGTGATATATTCAGATCTGATATTCCACCCAATCTGAAAACGGGGAGAAAAATTCTCTCTAGACACGGTAGCAGACTGAGTCATTAGGGACGAAGTATTTCCTCAAAATCTAAACTGCAGTTATTTTTAACAAATATTATATTGGATTTATTTTCCTTTGTACCATTAGCATGTAGACGTTTCACTTCAGGGTTTCAGTGTTTTAGTTTTAAAAGCCTGCTTGTCCAGAATTCGTCGTTTCAGGACTTTCCTATAACCTTTGTGTGAAAAAACTTTCACTTCTACCATCATGCATGGTAGCTGCAACTCCATCATCCCTTCTGTGGGCTGGCAAACCCACTCTAAAAGAATTACCTCCACCTAAAGGGCTGCACTGAGAAATTTAGAGTCTCATTAGAGACAATTTGAGCAAGAACGAGTGCCTCCTCAATTTGAAAATTGCAGTTATATTGCAAATGCAGTTAAATGCCAAACCCCATGTTTCACCCCTCCAAAAAAAAAAAAAATCACAAAGTGATTGTTTGCTCAACTTTTTGCTCCATGAACACCATCATGGGTTCATGTAAAATCAAGAGGATGGAATATTGGAAATATTTTGCATCGGGAAAAATGTATATATTCAGAACAAGCTGGTTGGTTTGTTGACATCATGCGTATAACTAATCTTAAAGAGAAGATGTTGTATAATTGCAGGAGGGACCATCGGAAGATGTGTTGCACAGTAAACAAGTTCAACCCAGCTGATCTCCTTGTTCAAGAGTCACTTATTTAACTCTATGTTACATATTTAAGCTCTTATTTTTGATCTATTGGTGAACCTGAGTGAATCCAGGTAAAGTGGAAGGGTTTAGACATGGACGCAGGTTTGTAGGGAGATCAAAGGGACAATTTCTGACCAAAATGTTGGATCGACTTACTTGACCCTACTTGACCCTACGATGTGACTTGCCAATAACTTGTTTATAATTTACAACTTTATTGCTGCAGTCAATTCTTTTCCCCTTGCAGCTCCACTGCCTGGTCTAAGTGTCCAACCCGTCTTTCCCGTCCCTTTGATTCGCAGGGAATGTGACTGAGCTGTGTGCTTGTTTACAGGTCTGAAAATGATCAACGGATTGTTTAGAAAAAAAAAAATGCAGTCTTATGATTACAGTTTTAACAGGCCAGTTTGAATTTGTGGAAATCAAGTTAGGTGCCAGTTAATTTTTATGTTTGGGTGATGATATCTACACTTTAGATGCATGATGCAAGAAATCAGTTTGGAATTTTACCATAAAAGACATGAAATACAGGGAGATACAGAGAGAGTATTTTACTTTGAAAAAATAAGGGTGGGATTTACCTCTGAATATAGCCACATTTTCAAATGAAAACACTGGATAAATGCATAGACAACAGACATATTTTGACCATATTTGGTTAAAATAGGTATGCATTTACCATCTGTCTCTGTTACTGGTAAATAACATTTTCAAAGTGGATAAATGTCCCGATTCAACATTCACCAGAGCCGCTAATGCTTCAAACATTGAGCAACAACATCTAGTATGTGTTGTGCTTATATAATTTGTATAAATTAAATTCTGTTTTTCTTTTAAAATGAAACACACCGTGATGCTGTTGCTCAAGTGAAACATCAGCAAATAGTGGTGGAAAGCAACAACTCACCTGTAACAACTGGAAAATAGGAGGCCAGGGGTGGCCACCTTTAGCCAATCATTGGCCAGCCCTGTGGCCACCCCCACCATTTTTTCCCTCTCTAATACAGACCGTGGCAGCAGGAACACTCTCAAGGGGAATGTTTAAACTTATTACAATATTTTAATTTTTAATTTATTAGTAATTACTTGACAACTAAAACACTGTGGTGAATTATACACATCAAAATACTAACATTAAAGTTGATATATACAGAATTCATGCTCTCTTCAGAACTAAATTTTGCGTTATATGGGGTAAAGAAAAAATTATGTGTCTCTGCAAGTCATCTAGGAGTCTTCAGTGAAATCATAGATAAGCAACTACTTTAATAATAACTTAATGTAGATATTAGTCCATGTAAGTATTCATTTTATGCAGAACAACTTTTGATAATAGTAGGTAAGTAATGACGATGGAAAAGATGTTCGCCCCAGACATTTTGTCCACTTAACCTTTTATTTAGACAGAATGGATGTTTAAATATGTGCATCTATTTGTTAGCAAAGGCAGTAGGAAAAGTATAGTTAGTCATATTTAGAAAATATGGATTTTTTTTTTGATTTTTTTTATTTCATGGTAGCTGATATGGAAGTCCCAAATCTCATTGTATCCGTTGCAGAATATAATGACAATAAAGGCTTTTTGACTTTGACTTTGTGCTCGTTCCAGTTTGGATTGACCCTGCCTATCCGGTTTCGGCCACCCCTCAGTGTACATTGGTATTTGACTGGCCACCCCTAATAAAATGTTCTGGCTACGCCTCTGTTACAACTACTTTTATTTAGGGGTGTCAGAGTAAAAGAGACTGAATACCTTCTCAGCATCAGCCCTTCATTTAACTGAAATCATCCACTTTCACTTCACAACTGCTAAACGCTTTGTTTAGTGGTTGGATCATGGAACAGGGTTTATACAGGAATGCTCTTTTAATGTCAATTTAAATGCCATCAAAAAGTACCCATGATTCTTAAATATAATATATATATATATTTATGTATATATAAAACACCGCAAAATCTTTCGTCATCTTTACGATCGACAGGCTGCAGCCATGTCCCGAATTCCTTGTTTTCCAGCAACTTTTGTTGAAATTTGCATTTTTCCATCCTCTACTTTTTCTCCGCCTCAAGCTTCTTTTCCGAACATACGGCGAGCAGTTGAAATTGCTTCTATCAATTTTTGTTTTTAATAAAGTATTTTAAATGCCACTATAAAAACATTTAATTAGTTTTAATGCCAATTAAGGCCTTAATTTAAAGAATAATAATTTAATGGCTTGTAACGATTTTTAATGACCCGCAAAAACAATCTGGAAGATGTTTAAGGACATTTATTTTCCCAGGGCACTGTAAGTCCCCTCAATGACGTAGGGACCATAAGTAGAAGTGAAGGAGTGTTTCCTTACATTTCTCCATTGATGTACTCCAGCCGTTTCGCCACCGTTGCTTTAGCTTCATCCAGGTCTTGTTTGACCAAAACAGGACCAATAAGCTTAAAAACTATGTTGGAGCTGTCCAGCAGATCCAGCTCCTGGAACAATAAGACACAGTGTGTGGAACATTAAACCCCCACGGTGGGCTTTCATTAGCAGCAAACAGGCGACCCGTTACCTCTTTAACGATGTTGTTCTCTGCCAGCTGCGTCTCCAGCTTCTGTCTGGCAGAAACACTCTTACTAACATCTGGAACAGACAGCAGTAAAGGTAAAAATACATTTGGTGCAGTGCTAACTGCCCTGTTAAGGTATGCTAGCATGGTAAAGCGTGTCAGCCCCATATTCGTGCTAATAAGCGCTCACCTTTTTGCATAAGTGCATATTTTTCCACTTCCGCTTTTAGTTTCTTCTGAATGGCCTCTGCCATGTTTGCTTTTTTTTTTCTTTTAGCGGCGCTTTAAATGGGATAAACGTAACGCAGAGTTTCAGTGTATAACATGAGAGCTTCGTGTTAGCTGACAGGAAGAAGCGTTGGACAGAGCGGATGTTGTGAGGCTTTCAATGCCTTCTAAAAACTCGGAATTTTCTGCTTTCTTGTTCGGCAAATTGAAAAAAAAAAAAAAACTAAAAGAAAGGATACATTTATTAACAACTCAGAAATGTTTAAATAAATATACAAAAAGGGGGATACTTAAATTAAATGTAAAATGAAACAAGGGGATATTTTAATTTGAATTTTTTGCCATAATCTTGTATAAATATTTAGCATATCCCCCGTAAAAATGGAACAATTGTCTCGAAAGGAATAAAGCCTATTATTCTGAAGCTATTTTTTATATATAATTCAATTCAGTTTATTTCTATAGCGCCAATTCACAACACATGTCACCTTAAGGCACTTTACAATTCACCAGATCATACAGTCAAATTGATTCAAAATTTTCTATCTAAGGAAAACCGGTTGATTGCATCGACAATTGACTCGAAGGCAGTCCCTCACACTAAGTATGCATGAAGCAACAGTGGAGAGGAAAAACTCCCTTTAACAGCAAGAAACCTGCAGCAGATGAAGCTACTATGAGAAAAAGCAGAATGTTCTAGATTAAACTAACACATAATGCAGAATGGGAGAATAGAGATAGAATGAAGCAAAATGATGAAATAGGGGTCCCTGTGTCCTCCAGAAGTCTAGGCCTATAGCAGCATAACTGTAGAAATAGCTCAGGATATATACCATAAATACTCCTTTGTTTTGTGTTCACAGCGAGATGCTGTCTATTGCGGAGAGTATAATCTCTCCTACCAGAGGTAGAAGGATCAGGGCAAATGACGTTAAGAGCAGGGGGCTCTGACTATTCTAGAACCCCTGGAGATGATTTTACAAAAATGAATCTTTTATAAAATTAATTACATTATGGACAACCCTGAACATCTTATTCAAAAGATTGTTGAACAATAAAAAAGAAAAAAGTAAAAAAAAAAAAAAATAAATAAAAAAAAATCCACTGGACTTTTTCCAAATTTGAAGATGTTTCGCCTCCCATCCTTGTTTTCTAAGTCAAAACAAAGCTTTCTTTTTGTTCCATTCTATAAAGCCTCAAACTAAATGCTATTTCTGACATTTTGAATTGAAAAGCTTTCTGGATGGGAATAAAAACGTCTTCAAACTTGTCCAGTAGATTGTTTTTTTTTTTTACTTTTTTGGGATGACTATGACCTGGATCACTGAGAATCTTCCCCAATTGAACAATAACATTTTCTTCAGTCAAGGCTACTCCAGGTTTCCTCCAACACAGACCCCTGTGGAAGTATGTTCTACTTCCACAGACCCCTCCTGCTTTTTTAACATACATGAAACTCTTAAAAACAAAAAAACTTGAAGTCACAGCAACGATTAATTTAAATCAAGCATCAATATTTTGTGTTTTTTGTGTTTCCTTCTTTCTTTTTTTTTACTTTTTTAAATTAAACTGAACCAAAGTTTGAACCAATAGCTCAACCAGTTTGTAGTTTGTGTGTAAAGTTGTTATTTCCGAGTTCACAGAAACGCAGCTTTAGTTAAGGCTGTCAGGACGCGTTAACGTTTTTAGAAATATTCTAAAGTTACTAACACCTTTTTCTTCAACAAAAAATAATACAACCCGTAACACTCTATTAATATTTATTGTACCAGGGTGGTTTGAGTTGATTATAAGTTTTTTTAACATAATGACGTAGTGGCTATTTACGACTCTTTACGGCGGATGTCACGCTTTACGGAAGTGCCCAGAGTTCCTCTACGTCTTGCTTCGAGATGGCTTCGTCGTTTTGGAAAGGTGTTGTCGGCGTGGGGCTGTTTGCTTTGGCCCACGCAGCCTTTTCTGCGGCACAGCGTGAGTTTCACCCTAAAGAGCCGGAGGTTCTGCTCTCACTGTTCGGTTCGGTTCCGTCTGTCTCTAGCTTTGGACCGACAGCTCAGCTGCTCAGGCCTGCCATACAGGCAGCTTAGCTCCGCTCAGCCAACGTCTGAGACGGAAAGGCTTTAATATTCACCATCATATTGTGTTGTGATAATCTGTGACGTGTTTTAATGTCGCTCTGTTGAATTTTATTTAATTTTAATTATTTATTATTGTTTTGTTTTGTGGGAGAATTTATATATAACATCCCGATCCACACTCCATTCCAGTAGATGGCGCTAATGCACATCAGTAATTTGCTTGGCAACAGCCATAATAAAGAAGAAGAATATCGCTCTGCTCCAGCTTGTTTGATTTGCTTCAGTTGATTAATTAATTAATGATTTTTTTTGTTTTGTTGCTGTTTTCACTAAAATTCTTCAACTCTTCCTGTAGATCGATCATACATGCGGCTCACAGAAAAGGAGCACGAGACTCTACCGATTGACGTGAGTAGCTTTATAGAAAACAGCCACAGATTGGGGAGAACTTTAATTTCTGTGTGTGTGTTTGGGGTAATGACAGTCTGGGATTGGAAAACAGTGCAGGAGAAAACCTGTTTCTGCAGGATGTCTTTGTAGATTTGAAGTTGTTTGAGTTATTGTTAAGCACAGAGGGTCTTAGGAGCAAAGGTGGAACCTTCTCCACTGGTCAAGGTGGAACCACTATTTCAAATGTCCCCATTTCTGATTTATAGGTGATTAAACAATTTTTTTTAATTTTTTTTTAAAATAAACACTGTAAAATACTATGAAACCCCATTTGAAATTGGTGCTCAAGTCCAGTCCTCAAGAGCTACCATCCTATAACTTTAAGATGCATCTCTTCTCTAGCACACCTCAATCTAAAGCCTCAATGACTTCATTTGGCTCAGCCAAGGCATGGTAAAAACTCATTTGATTCAGGTGTGTTAAAAATGGTTGCATCAAAAAGTTGCAGGATAGTAGCTCTTGAGGACTGGACTTTGGACTCAGCATATGGCGGCTCACACTGAGCCTGGTTCTGCTGGAGGTTTCTTCCTGTTAATAGGGAGTTTTTCCTCTCCACTGTCGCTACAAGCATGCTTGGTGTGAGGGATTGCATTCGAGTCAATGAGTCGATGCATTCAACTGGTTTTCCTTAGATAGAAAACTTTCAATCAATTTGACTGGATGATCTGGTTGAACTGTAAAGTGCCTTGAGATGACATGTGTTGTGAATTGGCGCTATATAAACAAACTGAATGGAAATTGACTTTAGCACCTCTGCTCTACATGAAACCTCTGACTTTATAGATCCACAGCTTGACTATAACTCAAGCAAATTGGACTAAATAAATTGAAGGTTTTAGTGTGCTAGGCGGAAATGTGAGTTTGGTACAGTGCCAAAAGTGCAAAAATGCATTTTCCACTCATAAAAGGGAATCTGGTCAAACAAATATGCTGATTTACATTATTGGAGACCTTCTGCAGAAGACAAAGCCTTTGCTCCTAAGATTTAGCCGTTGTTTCGTTGTAATTTACCAATAATATCACCAAATTGAATAGAAAATAAGAATAACAGAGCAAGCTTATGTAACGCATGAAGGTTACATCCCCTGAAATGGTCGCACAATTACCTCCAACCTTTACTTGGAAAGGTCTGAGCCCCTGGTTTCCAATGATGGCGGCCATTAGGGGATGTGGCTGAAAATGAATACCTGATTTTGCATTACTCCCGAAAAGACAAACGTGTCAGGGGGAATTTTTATTTTTAATTTTACTTGTTTACATAGCTATAAAAGAAAAAGTACTTGTGAAAAATTTATTTTTCAAACATGTTTTAGAAATGTTAAAGTCCTATATTGAAAGGTGTGTAGATGAAACGCCATGTGACTGTGTTCTAGAAATAGATAAACATCCCCTGATGTCAGCTGGGCTCAGTACCGGGCCTGACAGACTCAAGGGGTTAAATTTATGATTGGGCATGTATATATTTTCTAAGTCTTTTAGTACATGTGTGATTATTTAAATAAATTCTAGCAGTTTTTTTTTTTATACAGATTTAAATGATCTCCTCTACATGTATTTGAAGCGCTCTGCCTTCTTGTTTCAGATTGTCCTGCAGACCTTATTATCATTTGTGATGACCTGTTATGGGATTGTCCACATTGCTGGAGAATTCAAGGACATGGATGCTTCCTCAGAGCTGAAAAACAAGTAAGAGAGACACATCTGTCCCCTGATGCAGGAGCTGTTTGTGACCTGGATCACAAGGGAGCATTTATGGGTGCCTCTGAGGAGCCTTTGAATCTAGAAACACACCAAACATTCATCATGCAGGTTTTAATCTAAGGTCAACCAGCCTGATGCACATATACAAACAGGCCGTTCTCCAATTTACCTTTTCTCTTCGGAGTTTTGGATAAAGTGTTTTTTTTTTTTTTTAAATCAACTCAGTGCTTTTAGAAACTTGTCTGTGTGGAGTTTCGTAAAAAATTTTAAGACCACACTTCATAACTTTAATCTTTTACTTTAGACTCAGGAAATCTTGTTGTTTTAGTGCCTTTATCAGCAGCATTTGCTACTCTAGACCAGTTTGGTTTCGACTCATTTCAAGTCATAACCATCTCTTCCTTAACAGTTTTTTGGGGTTCCCCAGGGGTCCAGGTGGGGCCCATTGATAATTATTATTATTTTTTTTATGTTGTATTTTCTGCTGCTTGAGTCTATCTTTATGAACTTACTATTTCGTTGTTTTGCTGATGGCAGTCTGATGTCAGTTCATCTAAACAGCACTAATGCACTGCTTAGCTGTTGGGTTGAAATTAAAATCGAATTATTTTACATTATTTTTACATTTTATCAAACTCAGCCAAAAAAAGACTGAGATCCTGTGTTCTGGCAAATCTAATGTCAGACTAATTTCAGCAGATGCTCTTTGTTCTTTAACTACTAGCAGTCACTCTACAGTAAAGAATAGGGCTTTTTTTCTTCTTTTAGAGAAAAAAAAAAAACAAGCTCTGTTTCTGAGCCCAGCTCTTTTCATTTACAAATAACCGCTAAAGCAAAACCCCAGCCCTCTTATAGAGATCTAGAGATTGTTTTTACTGCTCTTACCACCTCTTGTCTGCACCATTATATCGGTCATCTCTGCAGCATTTAAGAAGCAGGAACACTTAACAGGCTTTATTCTCTCCATTGGCTTCCTGCTCATTAATGTATTGATTTTAAGGGTGTGTTGTTCACTTTTAAGGCTTCAATCAGCTTAGCTCCATTTTATCTTTATCTTCTGTACCTTTGAGAGTCTCCAGCAGCCAGTATCTCATCAGGGGTCAGATGTCCAAGTTAGAAGATGAAGGTGATCAAACATTCTCTGTGAAGTAAATTACCTCTACATGTTAGAAGGGACTCGGCTGTGTCGTTTTATAACCACCAGTGCAGAGCTTACCCATTTAACAGAGTGAGTGTTTCTTCATCTATAGTTTGACTGAGACTTTTGATATCAAGAAAATAAGCAAGAAAGCAACGTGTCCCAAAAAATAAACCATGGATATTCTTCAAGAACTTCCAGGATTGTATAGCAGAGGACGTGAAATCCCATTTAAACCCAGTATCAATCAGCTTTTAGTGGCAGTGGGAACAGCTCACTGACCCGGGTCAAACAACTCGGCAAGCGACCGGCATTAAAATCGCTTTGGCTCTGATCGGCATGCAGTGGGAGCATTAGAGTCATGCCATTGAACGCAACATACAGGCGTCAGCACGCCGCTCCAGTTGATTCTGATCTGACAAGCTGAAACATATGTTTCTATAAACATGGTGCAGCTCTGGTAAGAGGGGTTCTGGCAGATAAGCAGTTTGCCACCTGGGGGGTTAGATCCAGCTTTTTGCTAATGGGAAAGGAGCCAAATGCAGATTGTTAGCTGGTCGAAAAACCCGGGTTAACCCACTAATTTCAGTCAGAAAGAGGCTTAAGAAAGTTATTTTCTTTAAAAAAGCTACTTTTCTGTTGTTTATGGTCATCTGGAACAATCACTCTCTGGAGAAGAAAGTGTGACTGATATAATTAGTCCTTTGCTACGAGGACAATGAAGCTGGTATGAATGAGTGGAATCTAAGCATCCTGCAGTATCACAGAGCAACTTTTACTAATAATAATTTCACAGGGGCTGATTTTTCTTGAAAGAACAAAGAAATGAAAGTGACTTTGAAAATCCATCTAAACCCAGGAACAATCGGCTTTTAGTGGCAGTGGGAACGGCTCAGTGATGCACGTATACCCAGGTTAAACCACTCGACAAGCGACCCTCGTTAAATCACCTCGGCTCTGATCGGCATGCAGTGGGAACACCAGATGACCCGCTGAATTACGTGGTGTCATTGAACGAGCGATTCGGACAGAGTATAGTAAAACATCTAAGCACAGTTACTACGCCCTGGCTTCCTTACATGTTTCTCTCCACTTTGTTGATTTCTGTCGCACTCGTGACATCATCAACACTAAAGGCTAGTTTATGCTTCGAAAGCAGGTCGTCTGCGTGTGTCACAGCCCAGCGTGATGGAGTCTCCAGACATGCAAACGCAGGGGGACAGAGGCCATGCAGCGAGGGGTTAAGGGATGGTTATACTACTTCAATCCATGTTTGACAAACCTGGGTTAACATGTTATTTTCAGTGAGAATGAGGCTATTGAGTGTCAGCTGACATATTGAAAAATTCTAATTTTTAAATAAAAGCCTTTTGGCATTGAAATTGATTTAAATTGACATCAGTACACCAAAGAAATGTCTAAAGTTAAAAGATACAATTTACAACTTAATTTTTTTTTTTGTCTTTTATGGTAGAGACCGTAGTCACCAGTTTTTTTTTCTGCCACCTGTTTAATAGTGCACAGTAACAAGTGGGGGAGGGGCATCAGTGGGTTTTTGCTCTAAATGAAAAGCTGTGTTGTTTCTTTCCTCAGAACTTTTGACACGCTGAGGAATCACCCGTCGTTTTACCTCTTCAACCATCGAGGTCGAGTTCTGTTCCGCACACCGGAGGAGGAGCCGTCCACGGCACGCAGCCAGCAGGCCCTTCCCAACCCCATCAGGTTACGCAAGCTGGAGCATTTGCACTGAGACCAGCCTCTCCTGCCTCTGACCTCCTCACCGCCCTGATAGGATTTGTTTTTGTTAGACAAGGCGAAGGAGAGAGTCTGGGAACTTAACTTCTTCCACTTAAAGTTTTATTTATTAATAAACTAATATGCTGTCCAAGTTTGCATCTGTGTCCATGAAGCGGTGACCGCCATAATCAACACTGACTGTGCCAACCCGGTTTTCCATGCAGATTTGTTTGTATATATGGTACAAAGTTATGGCTTTAGAGTCTTAAAATAATGTTTCTTTTCATTCAGACTAAATCAGAATAGTATTTTCCTTTTATGTCTTTTAATTTTTCTATGACGGTTTGCTACTGTTTAATTACTGCTATCCATGGCGAGTTTTGATTTAGTCACAAGATTAAAACGCCGTTTTTTCACCCCGGGGGGGACTTGGATTTAAGCTGCAGAGATTAGCTAAAGGAGAAAAGTGAGATCAGAAAACACTTGTTGTTCTAATTATACTGTTAACACAGTAGAATTTCAAAGAAAAACTTTTGTTGTTGTTTTTTTTCATCCATCATGCATTTTGTTAAACTCCTACAGACTGTTTTTAATTTAATAAAGTTCATACTGGTTTTACAAATCGAATGCTCTTATTTCAAAATGTTAAATTACTGCAGTATTTTTTTTCTTCATGAAAATAAAATTTTATACCCATATAGATAAATAATTGGACTTCAGGAGCAATGAGGTTGATGCAAGACTTCTGTATCATAAGATTCAGGAGTTTGTAATGTTGGACACTAGGGGGCAGCAGAGCAGCTAAGCTCCAGTAGAGCCTCTGCATGAATTTATTTTGAAGGTTAATTTAGTCAAATTAATATGAATTCAAAAAATTAAATGATGCACACTATTTGCACCAACAGACTAATATAACGTTATGTACAAATTAATTTTGTTTTAAAGATTAAGCAAGAGCAATAATAGTGGAAAAAAACCTAAAAGAATTCATGCAGAAGAAATGCTTTTCATAATAAATTTTTTTGACAACTTATGAAACCATTTCTTAAAGGATCTAAAGTATGCATAATGGAATTTAGTATGCAACCTCTACCTACAATTTTTACTTTTTTGACTGTAAATTATCTTGACCTCCATGTCTGAGCAGATAAAATTTAAAAGATTGTGAAAAAAGAATACTTTTCTAGTGACACTTTGTCAGTTCCTGGTGTATCTTAGGTTTAACTGTGGTTCTTTTTTCAGTAAAATTAAAGTAGGTAGAGTTCTCAAAGATTTTACTGAACTAAGGGTAGCAATATTCAATGATAAATATTTTAGTCTATTGAAACTACTAAAAGTAACATCTTATGCAAAAAGTTACTCAAGTAAATGTAGCTAATTACTACCCACCTGTTAAAAATATATACATATATATATATGTACTGGTGTTCAAATGGTTACTGTAAGATAAAAACATGAACACAAATCAGTAAACACCACTTTATTATAGTTTTTATTTTTTTAAAAAGATCTTAAAACTTTGCCTTTATATGTATTTTACAGTTTACAAAAAATGGCTTCCAAAATATTTCAACTCTTACACAAATTCACAAAAATAATCTATATTACCTATGAAGGTTAGAAAGTAGTGTACGTATCGTTAGAAACAGACAGATAAAGAAGATGGCCGACCTTGGCTGTTAACTGGAGGGAGAACGTCAGCTGCTGGCCACCAGGGAGTAAAATCTGCTAGGAATACTGTTAGGATCAGCTCATTTCTGCTTAGATGGGGGGATTAAAAAAACAAATAGTTTTAATGACTTCTAATCAGTAATATCAGTAATCCATCCCCTTATTGAGGAAAGAAAAATCCCCGAAGCTGCAGAAAAACAAAAAAAAACAAAACAGCAGCATCTTGAGATCACCTTAGAAACCATCCTGGTTGTTTCTGTCCTACCATCACAAACGTAAACCCAGAGTTAAACCAGGCGTGCTTCAGCTGGATGAGACTTTGCTGTGAAACAACGGATGAATAGATGGAAGCGTGAAATGACGGAGGTCGTTTCTCTTCAATAAATCCCGCAAACGAACGGTAAGTTAAACATTTTGGTTCCTTTAGCAGGAAAATGAGAAGAAATGTATTCCATATATATAGTTTTATTGTGTGCTTTTTCCACATAGTAAAAAAAAAGGTGAAGGCCGTTGTAGCTGGAAGAACCATCTCACCTCCATGTACTATAATACTGATGCAAAAAGATGCTGGTGAGGAATTTACACGTTTAAAACTTGACAATATGTCCACAAAGTAAGAGAAGTGATCCAATTTGGATGTTTAAAACATGTACATATATATATAAAAAAACAGAAATAGAATATTTTTGAATAGAAAAATAAAAAATACTGACTGAGGTTGAGCAATATGTCGGTAAGCTAATAGATACTACGCTGATCCTGACTGCAGCAATATGGGCTACTAACAATACATGTCAAGTCCAAAAAGAAAGCTTTATTTTTTGTTTGCTATTCATTTTTTAAAAGAACAAGGATTTTTTTTGACTTTGTGACGTTTTTACTGTTTTCCTGTATTTATTTTTATTCATACACTGATGTTAATGGATGATAGAAGAATACATGTTAAGGGTAAAGAAAGTTTTAGTTTGTGAAACTCTCATAAGAATACTGATCATTGCCTCTATATATAATAATAAAGCTTATTTTACTGCCTGATTACATGAGCTCGAAAGTTTCTTTGTAACTTTATTTAAGCTGTTATTTCCTTTTTTTCAGCTGAATTCCCAGACTTTATATCAACACATCCTCATTTTAGCTCACAGACTTTATCCATATTGCACAACCCCTCCTGCCAACATGTCAGTATCAACTAAAAATAGTCAGACATTAGGTAACAGGATCAGCGTAGATAAAAAAAAAAAAAAAGATAAATAAATAAACTACAAGCAGTGCGCCATTTTTGTTGCAGATGTAATCTGCATTAAGCTGATTCCTTCTGTCAGCTCAAACCTGTTCCTTCTTTATTACAAGTTTAAAAGAGGAAATGCTTTTCAGACCAGCTGAAAAAAGGTCTGTTTGTAGAGGGAGGGGGAACAGGGACATATGATGGATCTCCTGAACGAGTCCTCACTGATAATTTGGGCTGATCACGAGAGCAGATGCCTTTAGTGGTGATGAAACCCTGTAGCAATGAAAGCATGATCCAGGAGATGGGGGGGTAGGTTCCTGCAGTCACTACCTTCCGTGGTCATTGGGAAGCGGCGAACGCGGGGCTTCGTCCCCCTCCAGCTCAGCCAGGGCCGTCTCCAGCTGCTGGATCAATACTCGCTTTTTGAACCTGCCGGAAAGAAGCAAACTTCATCACAGGGAGGCAGGAATCAAAGAGGAAGTGTGAAGTCTTTGAAATCAGGGTCTAAGACATCCAAGACACTCAATCATGGAGGCTGGAGAGAATCACATTTCCCTCCAGTTATAGCTGCAAGTTTTCTGCTGTATGTTACAAACAATTTTTAGATGTGGACTTTTCAGCTTGTTCTTGCTTGATGGAGAACACCAATCTCTAATTGTTGCAAAACGTTATCAACAATTGAAAACCAGATAAGTCGCTTTCTCTTAAAATAAGTGCATTTGTTCTTGGATTGAGGAGGTAAAAGAGACATTTTGCCAATGGAACAAGACAATTTAAACTTAAAATAAGAAAATAGCATTGTCTTTTTTCAAGTGCATATTAGCTAAATACTAATTCCATTGGCAAACTATCTCATTTAGCTACTCAAATTAAGGGTACCGGTAAATACATTTATTTCAAGACTGTTTCCCCAGTGCACTCTGCTATTTTCTTTAAGATTGTTCTGTTTCAGCTGCATCCGCCCTCGCTTCCACTGTGACGGATTCTCTGTCCTTGCAGAATGGATAAATCTGCTGTTAGCATCATGATTCACACTGGGTAGTTGTGAGGTCAAGGTCATGTGTTAGCGTTAGCTTCCCACCATATTTGCTGTGTTTTCAGCCTGACTGGGCCTCTTTTCCATACTTTTCTTTATGTGTAAATCAAACCAGATTTCAAAAAGATCTGTACATAATGCAGATAAAACGTAACAAACCTGCTCAAGCTAATAAGTTTAATATAATTCCAGTGACTTATTAAATTGGGCTCATATTGTGTATATCAGGAGTAGAATTCGTAAGAGTATCAGGAAATTGTATAAAGTTAAGGATTTCTTAAATTATGCCTTATTATATATGTTTTACAATTCCCTAATATTTCCATATTTTGGGAATTATTTTTCCCACACGTCTGGAGTGATACCTATTCAAGTAACACAAAACCTTTGTTAAATAAAAATGCATCAATCCTAATAGATAATTTTTTTGGACTGTTAAAGTTTAAAGATTTGGTTGATATAAATGACTTTGAATAATATGTGCAAAGCCAAGCAGAGAATGCTACCTATAGCTATAAAAATCTATTTACTTTTCTATCCAAATAAGATGGCCATAGAACTGCTTTCTCACACAAACCCATTCAAACAAATGAGTGTGTCCGTCTATGGAGTTAAGCTGTGGAACACCCCGGATTAAACAGGTGACAGTTTGTAAATTTAACAAACCAATAAGAATTAAATTTTGTAATTATTATGTTGTAATTATTTTGTAATTATTAATTACGTGCATATATATAGAAGACGTGATATTGTTTAATAATTGGATTAGGGTTCATGCACATTCATAATGCAGCTGTCTTTCCTCGTCTTTAAGATGTTTGAAAAGGGACCGGTATTAAAAGATTTTTCTTCTTCTTTCTGTTCCATTTTTGTTCTTGGAAAAATAAAGAAAATGTTTGTATCATGACAGTGATGTCCAGATCTTATTTTTTACATTTCTGATATGATACAGATATTGCGGCTTTGAGAATTGGCCGATACCGATATTGACCTCATATAATATTAGCACAAATGAAACCGGCTTTTATCCATGATTTTATAGTGTAGCATTTTAGAAAAGGCTTGATCAAATAATATTACTAATACAGGGAAGAAACGTCATCAAAAAAAGGTATGAAAACAACTAACCCACATAAAAAATAAGCAATGAGTTACAGAAACCTGTAACAGAAGCAGAGTTTTTCCATCAGCATGAAAATATTGGAAGTTTTAGATGCTGGCCAAAAAATCCAATATTGGTTAATTGGCTGATATTGGACCAATATCTGAAATTAGCATCAATCGGGAAATCCCTAATAATAAACCCAACCCAAAATTTAAAGGCATCAAAAGAAAATATAAGGATGATTAAAAGAGAATAGTTAATTAAATAAAATCCAATCTCTCATAATTTACAAATGCTTTTGCAAATAGGTGTGTTTTGCTAATAGAAAGTTTTTTTAAACTTGCAAAGGGACTGTTTAACATGCGACTACAGAGAAAGCTCTCAGTTTACCCTCAGGCCCTGATCTTCAGTGTCTTTGAACAGGTGCAAACGTCTTTGTATGAGCAGAACAGATCTTCACAGAAGGTGCAAAGAGATTTGTGATTGCTAGTTAGCAGACAGCGTGTGCAAACCCATTATTTGCTTTCTGCCTTCTTAAATATGCAGATCATATTCTAATGACCGAAACACACAAACTAATTAATGGAGGATATGCAATTATAAACATTTAGTAAATGTAAATCAAAGTGGCTGCAGTTTTGAGCCTTTTTTAAATACTTTTAAGAGTCAGGTGCAAACTGAGACGCAGAAATATCTATGGTCACAGCCAGACAACGCAAAGAGTCTGCCAAATATTCTGGAAACTCTAGGGGAGTGTTGGTCTAGTGGTTAGAGCAGTGTGTTTGTGCTCTGAGAAGGTTGTAAGTACCCGGTTCAATCCCCACAGCCTGAACTAACAGTCTCTGAGCAAGACCCTTAACCCCCGATTGCTCCCCGGGTGCCGCTCAGTGGCAGCCCACTGCTCCCCAAGGGGATGGGGTAAATGCAGAGGTTAATGTCTCCAATGTGAGATCAATAAAGTTAAATTATTATTATCAATTAATATTAAACATGTATGGACCATCATAAAAAATAATAGAAAAATCATATTATAGAAGAAAACTTCTACGCAGGTGGGCAAGCAGAACAGCAGCCAGCATTTATATAATTAAACCAGAAACCCCCCAAAAAGGACAAATATTGAAATATTTTGACATATTAAAAAAATAGGACATCAAAGAGCCTCGGAAACATTATGTTTTACCTTATTTTTTGGACTATACGTTGCTCTGGAGTTTAAGTCGCATATGCCAAAAAATGCATTATGAAAACGAAAAATAAAAAAAAACATATGTACTATCGGACTAAAAGTCACACCATTTTAAAAGGTTATTCTATCCATGGAATCCGTGTTCTAATAACGGCCTTGTGGTAGGCTACTGCTCGAAGATCGCATTGTTTATTTCATGAACCAGCATCTGAGAAGCAGTGATAATCACTCAGAGCGCTATATCAGATCAACACTAGAGACAAACAATAAAGTGTTTCTTGAAAGAAGAAATAGGCGTATTTCAAAAAAACGCAAAACATTGTCGTTGTTGTAATGCTAATTTGTTGTGTTGTGGTAAGTTTTTTTCTTTCAGTGGTATTAATAGAATACATGTTGTTGTGTGCAAAGCTACATAGCGCCCTCTCATGTAAAAAAAAAAAAAATGTATATATGTCGCACCACAGAATAAGTTGCATGGCCAGCAGAACCATGAAAAAAAAGTGCAACTTATAGTCTGAAAAAAACGATATATGTCTGCATCAACTTTCAAAAATTTCATCATGTTTCATTTTTTTCGATTAAACTTTAGTCTCATCACCTTATTAATTTACTTTTGTGCGTAGCACTTAGAGACCCATGTAAAGTGCTCTATAAATATTATTTATTAATAAACTTTTTCAATATTTTTTATCATTATTACCTCCATCTCTATGGCTTAGAACCTCATCTTTCTTTTAGGACCCCGCTAAAGCTGCCTGTTGAACAAGCAATCTGCGAATTTTAAAGTGTAGAACCAAACAGATTTGCGCAGCAGTCTTTGCAGATCACCTTCAACACGCCCATTTGTTGCACTTTATTTTGGCCTCAGATGGAAGAAGCTGGATTTGGAAATGCCCTGATTTAAATTCCTTCTGCAAGCCTTTCATAAATGTCATGTTTTTTAGAGCGTCTTGCCAACAGCTCCCACCAGGATCTATTGGGAGTGTCCTCGTTGATAAACCCTCCAGAGATGCTCTGCTCGCTGCTCCGATTATTCCTCAAACTACAGTGATTCAAGGAAAAAGCATGTGGAGCTTAAAAAGATCAGGAAGAGCTTCTTGCTTCTTACCTCACAGCTTCTTTGATTGCATGTTGGATGAAATACTTCTGAACATTGACTGGTCCCTTCACCTGCTGCAGCAGACTGAGAATGGATTTATAGTCTGAGATAGAAACACAGATTTAGATTAGAACTGACTGAACGTTTTGATGGGACCCAATCGGCTGGTTTGTACTCACTCCGTCCAGGTTTGCGGACCTCCTTGATGACTCTGCTCCGTAATTCTGCCTGGCAGCCATCCAGCGGGGTGATGTAAACAGTGTGGAGTCCGGTGAGGTCATCCTCAGTGTCCTCCAGCTCGCTCTGTGGACTAAGGCGGTCGCAGTTGTGGCTTTCCTCCATCTTCAGCTCTTCTAAATTATCATCCACGAGCTCGCCCTCCACCATGCTCGCTCCGTCTTCCTGAAATGTTGTCACTACTGCAGGCTTTTCCTCCAAGATCAAGGAAGATGAGTTGACCACCTCTGTTTCCACCTCAGAGGGCCAGACCTCACCAGAGTCCAGGACAACATCACCGTTGCTCTCGGTGACCACCATGTTGCTTCCATCTGCTCCTAGAAAAGCAATAAAACATGAACCCATAAAGTTTCTCTTTCTCCTGACCAACACCTAAGAACCAGGCCACGTGTGCTTCTTGATCCCACCTTTGTGTTGTGGAGTGGGTTTGAGGGGGCTCTGCTGGCCTTGAACCCCTGCTGGACTCTTTCCCATCAGCACATGGTTGGTGCTGCCCGGTGGAGTCTGAGGCCGCCGCAGCAGCGGGGACATGCTGCGTCTTCGCTTCATGGTGCCGCTGGAGTTGGAATCACCAGAATGTCCCCTTTTCTTGTTCTGGGGGCCTGCTACAAACTCGTCTGCCTCGTCAATCATCATACCCTGGGATAAACAGGACAGAAAACAACACTGTAGAGCAAAAACAACCCACCTGCCTTTTCATAGCAGAACAGCATCAATATCTGGGTAACATATTAATGTGAAAGCATTGAGAAGAAAAACAAAGCTTAAAAAGACGCTTTGGATTAAGATCATGCCTGTTTATGATCAGAGACATAAAACTAACTTTACTCCACTGCTTGTGGACATTAAACTGGAACTGGAGGATGTTACTAGGGCTGAGGCTGATGAAGTTTCACAAGCACATGAGAACGCACAAGTATACATATTGAGAAACGGGCTCTTCACCCCCTGAATGATTGTCTTTATCTACATGAGGAAAAGCTGGCAGAGCGATAGTGAGAAGGACCGGTGCCTGGAGCTGCAACAAACGGTGCTTCTAGAAATAGAATCATCTTTCTTCCTTCCGCTTAACTATTCTGCACCACTTTGCTTTCTTCTGTCACTTTAAAGCCCAGACACATTTATATCTGTGGTTATGAGTTGATAAAAATGTGGAAAAATTGTGTGTGCAGATATTAATTTGTACCTTTTTATCTTGCTTGAAAGGATTCCCGAATGTGTGGAGTCGTTTAGGTTGATCAGGATCGATCTCTCTCAAAGGTGAAGGCATCATCTTCAGATACTCCTGATAGTTTCCCATCTGGGCCACTGGAATACTGTGTAGGAAGTCTAGAAACAGCAGCAGGAATCCATTTATATATCAATTAAGTAACATTGCTGGTTGTACTGGTTATGTGTATGGTAAAGGTGGACCGATGCATCAGCCAGCTGATATTTTGGGCCAATATCAGGATTTTTTTAAATCTATTTTTTTTTTATTATCATTATTGGCTGATCTTTGCATGCATTCGCTGATTTATCGGTGTGCTAAGCAGCCATGCATTAGATCACATAGAGCGCATGTATTACTGCTCCCTCCATTTACTCTAATTGTTCTGTTTTCTTTGATTTGTAGAAAAAAATATTGTTTTGTATAAATTTAGACTTTATGTAATATTTGTCAGTTTTCAAGTTTATCATGTAAATGGAGGAATAGAAAACGATACTGGCTTTAAAACCCGACAGCACAAACAGAGACCGGTTAGACTGATGCCAAAATACTTGGTATCGGGTTTAAAAAAAAAGAGTATCCATCGATCTTTAATGCATGTATTGTTAAAAGACATGAATCGCTCTCAGCACAGAAATGGGACTGGGTTAAGAAGCTACTGCAGGAGTATTCTACCTTCATCTTGACCTCGGATCAGTTTTAACGAGGTCCGCAGCAAATTGGTGCGCATTCTGGTGAGCTGATCCAAAAGGTTTCTTCTTGGGATGTCATAGGCGTTCCGGTAAGCTTGAGGTTTTACATCCTGGAAGCACACAAGGACAAACACTCTGTGAACAGTCTCCTCTCAACCTTTCGCCAGAGAACAGGAGGTGTGCTGTAATGCAGCGGAAATAGCTTTGCCATCCAAAATCGACCTTATTGAGAAGAGCGATCTGGAAGCCTGCAAACTCTTTGAAGTTGATGTCGACCAGGCGTAGAGGCGTCTCCCCGGTGATGCCCTGCAGTAGCTGCCTAAAGTCCCGCCGGTGGGCCAGAGAGAGGGAGTTGGAGTGGTTCTTCACTTTTATGCCAGTTTCTTGAGGTGCCTTCTTCCCCACAGACACGATTAGACGGTCCGATTCAATTTTAGCCTTTATTAAAACAGAAAAAGGAAACACAAAACGCAGCAGATGATGGAGAGAGTTAGCAGAGCGGAGGCTAAGCCAGAGGATCCAATTTACTCTGATAAAATGTAAATAAATTAATTATTTATTCTAAAAGAGTCAATATATTTGCTTTTTTCTGGACAAAGAAATTTAAAAGGTACATATAAGGATATTTATAAATACTCTAGCCAAATGCTTTGAGTTCTTTCACTGCTTCACCTCTTCCAGGCTGTTTTAGACTCTAACAGACTTAAAGCCTTAATGAGACATATGACTAAATAATCACAGTTTACTTCAAGATATTACCTTAGAAACTTCAACTATATGGTTCTGTGAACTTAAGATCAAACACAGGTAGGGCTGAGCTAGCCTAGCTTAGTAAACTAGCCCCACCCGCCAGCGGCCAGAATCATTTTTGCCTGCGAGGGGTCTAGCTTCGATCAATGCCCCAGGCCCTAGAACTGGCGGGCCAATCACAACGCAGAGATGTGTTTTGAATTTCTGGATTCAAAGTGGGCGGGGTTTGGAGGGCGGGACGACAAAGCTGCGCGATGCTGGAGAAAGCACAACAAGGAAGATGGCAACAACTATTGAACAGTTCTCGTTTGTCTCAGCTTTGGAATCAGTTTTGGAAGGATTAGATTTGGGGTGTTCGTTGAAACATGAGCAGGAAGAGGCTCTACGCTCATTCACTTTTAGGAAGGACGTATTCGCCTTTTTACCGACAGGCTGTTTGTTTACACTCCCCCACCAGCTTTCTGTCGCGCTTACTACGTCACAGTCAGTTGCACTCATTGGTCAGAGCGTTGGCCAATAGGCACAGACATGGTTTAAAACAACGGGTTGTTCTCATCAACAATCTTCTGATGTCTCATTCATCAGGGCCAGACTAAATTACGCATTTAATCTCACATTTAGTCTGGTTTATCAGGGTAGGGCTGAGCGATATGGATTAAAAATCAAATCTCATTTTTTTTTTCTTACAAAATCCAATCAAGAGATTTAATTCTCACTTATGTTTCATGATTAAAATGATAAATGACATAGATTACTTTCAAAAACTAGCTTTTATTTCAACAATCCCTGTAATTCAAGCTGTGAAAAAACCTGTAAAACAATGGGCCTCATGCAACAACATTTCCATATTTTCATTGCAAATTTCTTTTACTGTTCCTTCTACAAACACATCAGATTCAGCAAACCTTCTTTACTACAGTTAATGATGCAGTCCACCTGTGAGCACACGTTCCAAGAAATGCACAACTACCGCCCCCATTATTCCATATAAGGCAACGACTTATGCAACTGATTGAATTACATTTCCAAACTTGATTTATCTAAGTTTACAACTTGTAAAAAATCAACTTGATTCAATTACTGATGAAAGCAAATACATTTTAGTTGGAGCAACATTTTAATTTAGTGTGTTGTTCTTCTGAGCTATGGAAGCCCAGGAAATGCCTTGGAGAACAATTACTGTTTCATATTTTTCATAAACTCGATGAATCCTCCTGCCCTAAAATCGGGTGATTTTGTAATCTATACTTCCAAGAATGAAACATAGAAAAGCTCACCTGCTGACTGAGCTTCTTCAGGTAGGAAATGACGCTATAACTCAGGCCACAGTCCATAGTGTCTGCAATGAGGTTCGGCGCACCCATCATCCTCATTGCCTTTTTCAGCGGCTGTCAGAAGGTAGCAGGACTGACTTTAGTTAAATAACTTAAAAAAAAGCTAAACAACCAAACCAACTGCTGAGGAGTTTGAGAGTATCTTACCAGCAGGTAGTATGGAGGCATCGTCTTCAGGTACATCTCCAGAGCCTGGCGCCACTTCAGGTTGGGTTTGAGTTTGTGGACTTTAAATAAATCATCTGAAAGAAGAAAAAAAGTTTGTTGTAGAATTGTGAGCAAATTAATCATTGATTGATGCTCCTCTCAAAAAGAACATTATTAAAAAAAAAACCTTTAGCAGCACCTAAAGCAAAAAAGTGGTATCTGGTAAAGCAGCTGTAACAATGAGACAATGGTGCAATGTATTTGGAAGCTGTCCAAGTATATCTTTATAGATGAAGACAGACAGTGATGTGTTCAACAGCAGTTCGTCATGAAACGCAGGACACAATCATAAACAGCACCTGCTTCAAAATGGAGACCCTTCATCCCTGCAGCTAACATCCTCTACAATGACAACAAAAATGACCTTCCCTTTAGGATCAATAAAGTGTTTTTAAAATTAGCCAATGCTGCGGTGCTGATCACCACTCTTTACTAAACAGCCACATTTCTCCTTTTTTTAATGTTTTCCCCACCTGTAATCTAAAACTTTTCCCAATTTTTCCAGATTTTTCCACTTTGAATGACATTAAATAGCTAAATGCTAACCTCTACTGCTTCAAACATCCTGAAATTCTCTGCAACTCCTCCACTTAGAAGGCCTGTTAGGCAGAGGTCTTCATCATGAAGGACACAACCCCCCCTAGTGCGTTACAGAGGTACTGCAGACTGTAATGTACTTTCAGGTGGAGGTTGATCCTAAAACCATCTGAACAGGTTAAATCTTGGTCAACAACTATAAACCATTTGTCAGAAACATTAACACTAAACCTCCATGGAAAAAAAGTTAAAGAAGCCTGATCTAGAGTCTCTCTGAGAATAAATATAAGTATTTGTAGGGATATTTTAAAGCCATTTCTTGATTTAAAACAAACATTTTTATGCTTTATTCTTTTAGCTTATTTTAAATGAAAGTGTATTCAGTTTGTAAACTGAGCCAAAAGATAGGTAAAAAAAACACACACACACACAATATGAAAAGTAGATAATTAGAGAACAAATAGATACATTTAAATACAAATAAATGTTGTCATGATCTTGGCACTGATGACTGGTTTAATTATTCATTCCATTCACCTGTCCAACTCTGACCGATTTCTAATCACTGCTCATCTGATCCACCTGTTCCTGCCTCTATTTAAGGCGCTTGCATCCAGTTATCAGGGCAGATTATTCTTGTTCTCTCCAGCCAGTGGTGAGAGGGTTTTTAGCTTTCCTTAGTGTTTCTGATTTTCTGATCCTAAACTGTTCGGCCTCTTAACCTCTGAGGCTCCCTGTTCCTTCTCTGATCTGTTTCCCAACTTGGCTTCGGACTCCTGCTTGTTCTCTGTCCTTTGGGGCTGCAGCATCTGGGACACTCTGGGCGGCGCCTCTCACATCTTGGATAGAACCACTGAACCAGGTTAGTGACTCATGTTCATAATCTTCCTCCATTAAATTTACCTGGTCACTAACCTGTGTTTCTCTCCTGCAGAGTTACCTGCCTCAGACGCCCTAGCCACTGCAACTACAGAACTGCAGATCCTTGGTTTTTAAATAAATGCTTTTTGAGTAAACCCACTGTCTGACTTAACTCAAATACTCTTCTGTTCTGAATCTTGACAAATGTAAAGTCCTCTGCTTCTCTATGGATGATTTAATTTCTGTCCTTTGGAAGTGAAAGATTGAAAAAAAAAGTCCAGAAATCCAACATATTTCCATTACTAACCAGTCCTAGAAAATGATCAAATTCCCATACTTTTCAGGGCTGTAAAAGGGCTTCTCCTTTCCTTCCTCCAAAACTAAATCCTATTTAGAAATAAAACTATAGCCGATCAGCACATGCTGCTACCCAAAAGTGCTGCTTTCTTACCGAGGAGCGGGAGAAGGACGGGATAGTTGTAAGGCATGACGAATAGATTGACGCAGGTCAGGGTGGTACTGGCTTTAAGGTAGCCAAACGGCTTTCCCAGGTCGCTTTGCTTCCCGCTGCTGCTAACAAAAACCTGAGAACAAGGAGGAAAATCACAACAAACGTCATTATGGTTACCGGACCTTAAAATAAATAAAACCCAAACATACGAAGATGCATGAACCAAGTTTACTACTAAATATCAGGTTTTTAAGAGGAGCTGTGTTCGACAGACCTGCCAGCACATGTGTGGGGACTTCCTTTCCAGGATGTACTGGGTGAGTGGCGATGGCTCCAGCTCATACTTGTCGAAGGGAAGTTTGTCAATCACCATGGGCTCACAGTCCACACACGAGAACCGCACCACGGGGTGAGCAGTGCGGGGCGGCTGAGGAGGAAATCAGCACAGCGGCTCAGTTTGAACAAATCCAACAAACCTCCTGCGAGGCTGAAACAGCAGCCTGAATCTAAACCGCTCACCAGGGTTGGAGAGTTCTGGTCCGGCCAGAACGACTCTGGAATGGGCCAGTGGCCCACCGGGACCCCCGTCTTTGGGTTTGGTCGAACATAGATCAGTTTATGGCAGCTGTGCCAAGGCTGTGGGTTAAAGGAGGAAACGGGCCGACTGGACTCCACAGAGTTATCTGCAGATGGGAACAGCCAAAGGGATCAGAGGTCAGAAATAACAAGATGGAAGAACTGTGAGTCAAACATTCACCTTCCCCTCCGAGAGGCGGATCCGGCCCGGTCTTCTCAAAGTTGATGACGACTCCGCTTTGGACCTTTTGGACTAGAGACTCCAGACACTGGTTCAGCATCCGTTGCGTTCGCACGCAGTACGACCGTCCTGAAAGGATCAAACTTCAGACTGAGCTCTCGTCCGGCAGAAGGACATCGATGGAAACCAAAGGAGAGGAGAAAAAAAAGCCAAACCTCCGGTGACTTCACACATCTGGGTGATGGCCGACTCATCTGTGGGGACGCTGCCGAGCTGTTCGCTGTCTGGCGCCGCCGCTCCGGGCAGCCTCAGCACCAGCGCAAACAGCCTCTGGTCCCAGCGGAAAGGCTCTTTGGTGAGCTCGCTGCCGGCCAGGGGAGAGTTGAGCGGCAGATGCAGCTACAAAGCAGCAGGTTAGAGATAATTAGCTGTTATTTGGACACAGAGAGAAGATCTGGGAAACCGCAGCTGGACAACGGTGTTATTGCATCTCTCACCTCATCCGGCACCCCGGAGCTGTTTGTCAGCTTATTCCCATCGGTGATGGTGATGATCACTGATGGCTCCAGGAAGAATGGGTTACGGCCCTGAAGGGAAACAGTCAGCAATCAGCCTGCAGAACAGTAACTCTGAGTAGCTTCCCATCTCTGCTTTCCTGACTTTACATCCAAAAACCAAACATCTTAACGGCCTTACTGGGTCAAACTTAAGACAAAATCCTCCCAGTAATTACACTGTAATAACCATTACATCTCTGCTAACCCAGTAGGATAGTAACACCAGCCCTCTAGGATCTTTGCTTTGTCTCTGAATGTCCTTGTCCGCGTCAAGGGTCAGTCTGCTTTAACGCCACACATGGGAGATGCCAAAGTAGATTTTCCTGCTCCTGATGTACAGAAAATGTCTCGCTGTAGTTATCCGTCTCTGTCTTGGAGTGAGCGGGTTCAGAGAGGAGGCCAGGGGAGAAAATTACTTTATCTGAGGAAAGGTTGAGTGGATTAGGCGACAAGAAAAAGTCTATTTCCTCTTGGCTATTTTAAGTCAGAAGGAGGAAAAGGAAAGAAAAAAAATGAACAAGTAAAAATGTCTACCATCAGAAACTAAATTTGAGGAGCTAAGGCTGGGGAGGCTGGAGTTCAAATGATTTTCACTGATTTAAAAAGGAATTTCTCTGAAAATTGTTTTCGTTTTATAGAAAATTCACAGCTTGGTCCAGAGGTTTGTCCTCATTTTGGAGCTGGGTGATGCTCGATCTCATCATCCTCATCATCAAATTCAGAAACATCATCTTCGTGTTCATCACCATCAGAAACAATTCCTGGGTCCTCTGTAGCATATGGCTATCCAGCTAAGCTATATTTATTTATATTCCAGCTATATTTATAGTGTACCACCTTCAATTAGCATCAGACAGAGTGACAGAAAATTAAGATTTCCAGAAGACAGAGGCCTAAATGTGCAGGGAAACGAGCCCAGACTGTTAATGATTGAATTTTATGATGTGTAGCCATAAAAGCTATATTCTGATTCATCTTCTTTGCCAAAAATGAAAATTGGTCCCACAGACCTGAATATTTCATAAAAGCTGAGGGTACTCTCCTGATCTCTGAAGTTCACCAATGCTTATCAGGCTTTACTTTGTAGTAAACATAGAAAATAGTTCAGACTGAGAAGTGTTTGTAGTTATAGTGATATAAACTTTGAGTCCTCTTACATTGTTCTGGCCATTTTTGTTTCCCTGAATTTTTTAAAATAAAGCTTACATTTAAAAATCTAATTCATGAAATACAACAAGCTGTTTTCTAAATGAGGATTTCTTCTTCATAAACATGGCCATATATGAGAAAATAATCCTGTTATTAACTCAAACTATCTGGATTGTTTTGAATCAATTTAACAAGCCGTCCATGCAGGATAATTGTCTAACTTGTAGAATCAGGAAATCACTTGAAAAGAAGAAAAACATATGTGACGACAGGAAGCAGGATCTCAGTGAGCAACACATCATGCCCCAAGGTGAAAGAGATGTTCTTCAGACAGAGAAAATGGTGAGAACCAGAGGACGAAGGCTAGTAAAGAGAAAAACACCAGGATGACGTTGCTCATATGCCCAGTGGGGATCATTTTCCTCCAATGATTCAAATGGGTGTGTACTGGAATGGCAATGACAATCAGAAAAACACATCTCTTTCTTTTGGAATAAAACTTCTTTCTGACCAGAGCGGATCAGATTTGCATCTTCAGTCTGACATGTTTACATGAAACATTTCGGAGCTGATCAGGCCTCAAATCCCATAATTTGTGTCCATGTAAATGTTGCTAATGCTGAGTGCTTGTTGGCAGTTATTGTCGCCATTAGCCGGCTCAGGAATAACGACTGCTTGTGTTTCTAAATTGGGTCAAGCTTGTTTGAAGTTTTTCCAAAATGTATAAAGTCATAACTTAAAGATGGCTTTTTATATTCACTAAGGTTATCTTTGTCTAAATAAATTAAAATAACGTTTTTTAATAATTTTTTACTGATGAATTCATAATGAAATTCATAACATCACCGCGAACGTATTAGTTGTAGGTATAAATAATGATCTATAAATTATTTCTTGCTGACCGGACTGTTCCTTTAAAAAAAATATATTGCTTGATCCGTAGACTTGTGTAACACTTTTCAATTATTATCATGTAAGCAGAGGAATAAAAATAAATTTAGGTAAAAAAAACGTTTAAAAGAAATCTGCATCACATATCCAAATAATCAGCATCAACCTGTATGGATCAATCTCTATTTTCTTAAATGATATGGGACTATTAGTAGGTTCAAGAACAGATTAAATATATTAAATAAAGGCATGTGCTGTAAAATATGGTCACACTGGTCCACTTAGTATAGTTCAGAATAAAAAGCACCAAATGAAACTGGGAGAAATAAACATCAACTGTTTATTTTTTTGCTGGTTAAAGATAATAAAAAAATGTTGATTTGTTCTGTTTTTTATCACTTTATAGAACATAAGGGGTTTCCAGGTGTCAGTCAGAGCCCACCTACCTGTCCATAGTTGTCTATTCCAGATACAAGTCGGTTGAGGTTAAGCAGGTCAAAGGCTGTGCGGAGGGCGTGCCCTAACGTGGTGAGCCCAGACGCCTGCAGGTTCTTCAGCTCGCACATGAAGGTGGTGTGGTTCTCCTTCCAGCCTGCCTGAAACACAAACACCCTGAATTCAGAGCAACGGACATGCAGGCGTCTGAGAAGGCCTGAAGTCTGGGAGCAGGGGAAGAGCAAGCGACCAAAAATAGATGAGCACCCACACATGTTATTACAAAGGAAACCAGAGTTTTCCTCTCCTCTCAGGCAAATCGAACCTATTTAATCATTCAGATCCCTTTAGGGCTATGGAGTGATGTTCCTTTGCAGGCATTCAGCTCTGAGCGACACAATCAAACTGCAGGCAAAGGGAGCAGAAGCTGTTAAATGTGCAAATTCAGAGTTGACTGCTAGTTCATACATAACAGGAATCCAGAAATACACTCCGCCGCTGCTGAACGTCCGCAGTGGGAGAACTGTACTCCCACAGGAGGTAAGCGTGCAACTGCTTTTCCACTTTTATCTACGGGGTCAGCCGCTTAAGGGCTGCAGCTTTATGCTTAATCTAAAGATGTCTCCTTCTGCTGAGAGAGGGAAGCTAAGAGGCTCAGAAAGGTGGATGGCAACAGATTTCTAGATTCTTGTAGAAAATGATTCCACATGCATGAATGTAACATTAAAATGCAACAATCAGAGTTGCAGGAAGTTTGTATAAATACATAGTAATAACCTCAGAGTTACCAGACCATAATTCAGACTACAGAATATTTCTGCACAAACCTTTCTCTCGGCTGCCTCTACATCCACTATTTATCGCATTGTGAATGTGCAATCACACTAGCCCCGATCACTATGACCTACTCATTTCACTGTAAAGCTCAGAGCAGAGAAACAGCCAAAGGAGGGGGGGCGAGAAGAAGAGACAAGAGAGCTGCTCAGGACAGACTGCAGGATGAACAGCACCTTGGATGGTTTTTATCGCAGGCAGAAGAAATCACATTCTGGTTTATTTAACTGAGATGTGACTCACAAACACACGTCTGTTAGCCACATTAACAACTCGCTGTGAACGCTGCAGCACCTACTTGCAATTCTTTTGTTGTTGCTTTACTTTTGCGAGCAGTGAAATTCACACAGCAAGGTTTAGGGATATGAGCTAAGAACTGCTTTTTGATGTGGTTTACACGACAGAGTGAAGCTTTGCAGAGAAACTGCTAAAGTCAGCAGCTTTTCAAACCTCTTCTTTAGTTACTGACAGGTTCCCTCACCTTTACCATTACATTTTAAGAGACAGAAGGGTTTACTTTAACAAAGTGCATTTAATCCCGGTGTGTATTGTGAATGCAGAAGTATACTGCCAGTCACACAAACCCTTAGTGTGTTTTTATCTATTTTATGCACTAGAATGCTATAAAGAAGGACGTCTCAAATTTAGTCACAGGACTGGATTTTGACTAGGCCGTTCTAACGCGTTATTATATTAGTGTTTGACAATAAATGTTCAGTTTTTGATTAGGAAACAAAATTTGAACAACAAAAATAAAGGAAGACTTTGAAATTCCACTTGAGAAATTATATAACAGGAATTATGAGTGGCCACTGTTAGTTAATAACACATTTCTTAATGATGGAGATGAGAACTTGATTTGTTTGGGTTTTTTGGGGGGTTGTATTCAATTAACTTTTGTATTTAAAATTGTTTTGCAGGTGGGTTTTGTACATAAATATATATTGCTATTTAATAAAGTGATATTGTTCCAAATAAAAAACTTTAAAATAAAATAAATCCACTGGAATTTGTTTCCAAGTTTTAAGACGTATCACTTCCCATCCAGGAAGCTTTTTAAATTCAAAATGTCAGGAATAGCGTTGAGTTCGAAGCTTTATACAGTATCCTATCAAAATATAAAGTATAAAACCTCGAACTCAACGCTATTTCTAACATTTTGAATTGAAAAGGCTTCCTGGATTGGAAGCGAAACGTCTTCAAACTTGGAAATAAAGTCCAGTGGATTGTTTTTAATTTTCTTTTTTTCAGAATGGCTATGACCTGGATGACTGAGAAACTTCACCAACAAAGTGAGATTACTCACTTAATCACTTCTCCTTATCCATAATTTAGTTTAATTCCTTAGGATATTCAGTGTTTATTTAATTCCAAATTTGGAAAAGTAAAAACTGTGATTGCTTTCCTATCCTGCTTTTAAAATACCAAATCACTGTAGCTCTGGTTGTAAGATCAGAGTTTCTGTTCTGCTTAAGAAAGAGCATTTCCACAGCATCATGCTGCCATCACCATGTCTTACTGTGGGCCTGATGGGTTCGAAGGATGAACGTTATTTATCCACCTTGTTTTTCTTTGTTTTTATTAAAACCATCTACAAAGACAAATACAAACACTCTACATGTTTGGAATCATAAACCAGAAATCACTATGTTAAATGAATCCTTTTTGTTTTTCCCAACCCAATTTGAAAAGGTGTCTCACAATAACTGATTATATTGTTTTGCTGTTAGTAATATTTGTGCATGTGGCGTCGAATATCAGCTCGATATTGTTTGTGGTTTGTAAAATCGAGAAAGGGAAAACCTGCTCTATTTTTTTACCCGTTTATGACAAGCTGTGTATGAGGCACGGCAAACGTGAGGTCTCAGATAACACTGCTGTTTGCCTCCGACATACGATCACTGTGGTGAAATATGCTGTATGGATAGTTTTGTTCAGCAGAACAGTGGAGCTGGTCAGAGAGAATAAAAAGATTTACGGAAGCCAAACCAAATGCAGCCCTGAATGAGAAGCTGCTGAAGTTCTGCAAAAGACCCAGGACGGGGAATGTATACAGTCAGAATAACGTTCATATCAATGCATGTTATTTAAGTGGAGTATAGATATAAATACATTTCACTGAATACTCGGGAGGTTGAACTTCTGTAAATTATTGGTAAAATATGAATTGTTAAGCTAAATGTATTAATTAAACTGCATTAAATATGTGCTTGATTTTATGACTATTTTGAGCATCAATCAACTGTTTATTACACCTGTCGGCCTCTATGAGAAATCCCTGTTGAGGTTTGAGCCTCTGTCTGTTTAAGTAAGGAGTGAGAAAGTAGAGCCTGTTTGGATAACTTAAGGATTTTTGACTGACAGTAGCCAGACAGTTAGGAGCTTTTCCTCATGAGTCGAAAGGAAAAAGGATAATTCAGTCAGAGCATTCATCCTGAGCTGAACTCTTGCTGTGGTTTCTGGAGTTTATTATTTCAGAGAGCTGTTTTCACCCATTCTAGGGATGTGTTTTATGTGTTTCAACATTTGTTAATGCAACGTGTGACATTTTGATTTAATTAACAGCAATGAACCTCCCTTCCCCTCTGCAGCCGCCGCCGGTTTGAGCTTTTTTTGTCAAGAACAGACAAAATATCCGTCTCTAAACGAGCTTAACTGGTACAGATGCTAAGTTTGAATTAAATTAGGTATACAATCCAGATTTGTATTTATTTGGAAATAAAAGTCATAAATGTTCATACTTTTCCTTACTTTTTACAATTATTGCCTGCTGCCCACACAAAATTCAAATTTAAAACAGACTTTTGAACTATGATATAACAAATTCTTTAAAAGTAAAAGGGGTACGAGTAATTTTGCCAGGCCAAACTTAAATTTGCAGACACTGGTTATGCCGTCCTGGTGAACCCCAAACAGTCCCTCTTTTTAGGGGTAGGGGGAAAAAAAACTCAGACATGTGCAAAGTCATAAACAAGTTAATAGAATAGGGGTGAGCTACATCTTGTTATGACATGTGAATTGGTGAAACTGCTGCAGAGTGAGAGGATGTCCTTTTTCCCACAGTATTTGGTAGCTTCTATTCAAAGGAGTGGTGGGGGGGAGGGGTCTTAGCATCAATATGAAAAATAATTATCATCTAAATGATGATTATTCCGTTGCAGCCAAGTATTAGAAACATAAAGAGTCTCATGATGAACGGGGGCTTATCAACTTTCATCCAGTAACAGGCCAATGGGAGTGCAAGGGTGGACACGAAAAATGGTTGGCAGAGTCTTCCACCAATCAGCGTGTAGTTCTGTGAAAAACGAGGGACGTCATGGAGGATAATACATTTCCCCGCCTCCACCTCAACGCCCGGAGAGTTTTGCTCGACACAAAAGCAAAATGTCCGCTGGTTGTTCGGATGCAGTGCGGCTCCTGGGTCTGCGGCTTTATCAGAGCATTAATTTGCCGTTTTCAACTTGGCGGAAAAATAAAGTCTCACTGACAGACAAACACGTTCGACTTGGAAATGTGAAAAAATGGTATCATTTACTAATTACCTTCACTCCGTATGGTGGCTCATCGAATGTAACTAGCATGTACCTGTCGCCTCTACTAGCCGGGTCTCGGGCACGCAGCTGTCAAAAAAAAAAAAAAAAAAAAAAACAAAAAACAGCATATATTATTTTTTTAACGATTTTT